GATAGATAGATAGATAGATAGATAGATAGATAGATAGATAGATAGATAGATAGATAGATAGATAGATAGATAGATAGATGGATGGATAGATGGATAGATGGATAGATGGATGGATGGATGGATGGATAGACAGACAGACAGACAGACGAGTCACTAATTATTCAGGTGTCTCTTGTAAATGAGTCCCCGGGGCTCAGTGGGATTAACGTGTATAAATAAAGGTTGAATTAATGTTATTTTACTGTCAGGTGTTCTTGTTTCATTGAAAACAGCACAAAGTAACAGTATTCATGTACTGTGAGACATTTTGCTCCACCACGACTGATTGAAGTCCTACACTGTGAGCAGGTGAGACACACCTGCCTCTTATTAGGAGGCAGACAGTCTCTGCTCGGCCCTCAATGTGAAAGAACACGTTCCTTGGCTTGAAACAAACAGTAGAAGAAAAAAATGTAAGTTACAGGTATTTGTAAATTATTATTTGTTTAATTTTTTTTGCACTAGTTTGACAAGTTAATGAATTTTTAATGTTTTCAGGAACTCTCTAGAATACTCGTTCGTGTTTTTCGTGCTGGTGCCTCATTCGTTTGGTGAGTGGATGTGTGGAGCAGCTTGTGGGACGGAGGCAGGAAAACTAATGGTTTGCTTCTTACAGGACGGTGCTTCGAAATGTCCTTCTCCATCTGTTGGGTGGGAAGAGAGGACGCTCTGACCAGGTACTCGTTCTTATTTTTTATTCTGGAAGGATGTCAGTCTACTGCCTTTAGGTAAAACGATTTATCGAAGCAATATAAATGTTTTGTGACGCAGCTCGGTTTGTAGAGTTTTAGAGCCTCACGTGCGCAACGTTCGCGTCACGCGACAGTTTATCTTCACCTGTTGGAAAAAACTTAATCTAATGTGGAGAAAACTGCAGTCTTAATTTATGTGTAAAAAAAAAAATAAAATTTTCTGCAACGCGGCTTTGCACAAAACTCTTCCTAAAGCGACTGTCTGGAGATGGTTTTACCTGGTAAACAAACAAATAAACAAGTAAATAGTCATTTTTAACATTTGAGCGTTTTGTTTCTTCTCCTACCTTAATATGTTCGTCCCAGTCGTAGTTGGGTTTCAAAATGTTGTTTTCGTGACAGTTCCTCTTCCTAGTTCGTTTAGTGCAACGTAGCTTTAAAAACAAGTTCTCGCGTTCTCCCTCCAATCGGAGGGTCGCGGGTTCGAACCCCAGCCCCCCAAGCGCGTGAGTGAGAACATTAAAATGACCGCACATGTTGCCCTGACACCTCAAAGTGGTTTTGTAATTATGGGGGTCTTGGAAACCTCAAAACCTTGAGCTAAACCCTTTTGGAAAGCTCAAAAATTACAAAACCAGTTTGACCACTATTGAAACAATGTTTGATGATGTCTGAGTATGCATGTACCAATATATCGGTAATAAATTGATACATTTTCATTAAATGCTCATTAGAGGTATAGTTAACTTTTAAAGTAAAACTCATTCAAGATTGCTGCCACAGCTAAGCAACTTTAACAAAGTCAATTTTACAGATGATGAACTAAAATGGTGTGTAGGTAGGAGTGTTTTACAACACACATTATAAGAAGTAACAGATTGTGAGAGACGTTTTTGAAACTGCCATTAACCATTTGAGTCAGCTGCCTGTTGGCAAAATATCTCACCAACCATGATTGATTTCAATGAAACTTTCAGGAAATAACCAGTGGAGGTCCATGTAAATCAGATTTGATGTCATGCCACATGCATCATTTAAAAATGGAGGTGGCAGTTGGTAGAGCTGTTGCTTCTCAGCGAGAAGGTCGCCGGTTCAAATCCCAGCCAGGGACCTTTCTGGGTGGAGTTTGCATGTTCTCTCTGTGCTGCGTGGGTTTTCTCCGGGTACTCCGGTTTCCTCCAGACCAAAAACATGCATGTTAGACTGATTGGTAACTCTAAATTTTCTCTAGGTGTGAGTGAGAGAGAGTGAATGGTTGTTTATCTCATGTGTCTCTGTCCCTGTGATGGGTTGACCTGTCCAAAGTGTCCCCACCTCTCACACAGTGACTGCTGGACATGGACACCAGTGACCCCTGCGACCTGAAAAGGAAGAAGCGGGTAAAGATAATGATGGATGGACTATTTTATAGGTGTCAACACCCAAGAGGATCAAAAACCTCAACTTTTTGTCCAAACCTGAAGCTGAAATGTCTTTTTTTGTGATTTGCTTTTTAGTTGGTGAAGATCTTCATTTACATAGAGGCATAATTCAAAAGGTGCACTGCAACCAGCTAGTAGGGAGGGGGCACTGGACCATGGAGGCCTCAGGTTCCAGCTTCCTGTCCTGCCTCAGTTAGAATACATCTGTGTATTAAACGCTGATTGTAGTAAGAACGTTACTGCATATCCATAAAGGTTAAAGTACTGTGATTTTCTTTTTCTTTCAGGCCGAATGAAAACTTGTGGCTCAACGGCACGTCAATAAAATCGATCATGAAATTGGGCAGAGTTGCCTCACTGACCGTGTCTCCAGTTGTGGAAAATAAGCTGGCGCTGCAGTACCGAGGCTCCATTCATAGGTGGACGCTTTCAATCGACCCACGTAAGGATCGTGGTGATAATCTGCTTGACCTTTGACCACCTGTTGTTTAAACTGTTCATCTCTCTCTAAGGTATCAAGATGGTTAAAATTACAGGTCGACAGAAACCTTCAGAACTTCCAACCAATGCCACTAAGGTGCTGCCTATACGTATAGTCGTGTTTTAAAGGGTAGTCGCTTTGATTAAGTTTTAAATGTTGTAGCACAGTTTGACTCTACCATTATTTCAGAGTTTAATGGCTGTGTTGAATCCCACTGAGGATTTTGCATGTGACGGTGGCACAACATTCCTCCATCAGGATGAGAACTTCTTCCTCGCCATTGGTGAGAATCATTTCCTCCATTTCCTCGTTTTCTGCGTTGCTGGGTGAATGTTATTACTGCTGTAATACTCGTGTGAGTCTAAATGACAGGTTTAGAAAAAAGACTAAAAGTCTGTTGGGTTGCTCAGAAATGTGAGGGGAAACTAGTTAATCCATGTATCGATTAAAGTTCAATTCAAATTCAAAAATACTTTATTAATCCCAAAGGGAAATGTTGTAACTCGTTATCCTCGTTTCTTTAAGAGAGGTTATATTGATGGCTGTAGACAGGAAGGATCTCTTATAAAGGTGGATCCAAAGAAAATGGCCACAGATGCCGTCCGATCTATCCACCCAGACTCAACTGGCCTCTCGGTTCCCTGGGCTGCAGGACCACCCAAATCCCGGGAAGAGCTCCTCCCAGAGCAATGGCCACTCCTCCCAGCAGCGTGCCGAGCTCCTCGTCACTGTGGACAGCCGGCTGCAGGTGTCGGGGGATGATCCTGGTCCTTGCTGTCATGAGCCATGTTTCCTGCCAGTTCCAGGATTTCAGTAGTCAGGCACAGCCAGCAGGGAGATGGGAATGCATCTACGGCACCTCCTTTTTCAACTCATTTGACATTTGCGGCTGTAGTTCAGGTATTATTTGAGTTTTTGAGATATTAATCAGCATTGTAAAAAAACAATAAGAAGAAGAAAACACCTTGTTATGGTTATGCATCATAACAAATGTCCAAAAGTAAAGATTCAGTAAAAATCCTTCCAGCATCTGATACCAGAGGAAACAATCATTCAAATTTTTTTTTTTTTTTTTTTACGCCCTGAAAAGTAAAGTTTCCAAAAGCAACATCTCAGAATGAATGTAACGTTCTCAATCGCCACAACAGATTTCCATCATTTTGAACGTGGTCAGGAGGGATTTCCGTCCTCTACAAAAATGAGAAGGGGAGAAAAATGTTTGTTGTGGTCCTGGTAAAGCTATCCAATCTAATGATAATCCTGGGATTAAACGGATGCTGCTGGACCAATGAAGAGAACCCGAGCCACCGTTTGAGCCATTCAGAGCAGAGCAGGGCGGGTCGTGCTGTCGGGTTCTCAGTGAGCCCGGGTGTGAGCAGCAGAGACAAACTGCAGGTGAAATCTCACCTGTAGCAAGCCAAGGAGGACACCCCGCTACCCTACCAGAACCGCCCGCCCCTTCATGAAGGTGATGACATGGAATAAATTATTAAACATCAACGTATTAAACGTATATGTTCACACGTGACCAATTCGCTGCAACCGAGGAAGATACCAGAACTGATGCACCATCACTCCCACCTCTCGCACCGCGCCTCGACCTCCCCAGAACTTTTGTATCTGTATTAACCGTTAATGTGTTGGGAGCGGCATGATCGTACAGACATGTGCAACTTGTGCGCATGACACCAAACTCCAGGACCAAGTAAGAGACGGACAGGGACGTGCACCACGTGGGAGCACGCAGCCTGTTGAGTTTCTCTCACGGTGAGAGAGGCTGTTTCTGTCTCTTAAGTTTTTCTAAATAAATTTGTAACGTTAGAAGATGGATATTTATACGTCACAGAATATAACAAAGATGTGTGTCTCAGTTTAACTTAAATTTTTTACGTTAAACTCGCAAGTTCTCTGTCAGTTTCAGGAGTTTTTACTTGATCATAAATACAGTATCTTAATAGAAATCCATTCTACGTGTACTTTTTATCAGCAGGTGTTGTCTGTTTGAATTAACTAAACGTGATTATTTATAATTCATACTGAAAGGTAACTGTACTGTGATAAATGTAATTTAATATCAATATGAATATAAATGGTATTCAATGACTACATGAAATGAAATCCTGTAAATTTTGTGGTGAAATCTGTCAGTCTGGCAAACTTAAAAATAATGATTTTGAGTCAATTTATACTCTTTAAAGGACTTCCTGTGCTATATATAATTTAATATATCAGACAACATCTCTAAAAGTAAACAGAAATGTTCAAACTGTCTTCCTTCAGAATGATGTTGGTCTTGATGCTTGATTAGAAAACACTATACAGAATACTTTTACAAAGGTCATGTATGCAGTACTGTTACAAAGGTCATTTACTTTGACTAAGGTCATATACAGAGCCTTGCAAAAGTATTCAGCCCCCTTGAACTTTTCAACCTTTTGCCACATTTCAGGCTTCAAACATAAAGATATAAAATTTTAATTTTTTGTGAAAAATCAACAAGTGGGACACAATCGTGAAGTGGAATGAAATGTGTGTCAAACTTTTTTAACAAATAAACTGAAAAGTGGGGCGTGCAATATTATTCGGCCCCCTTGCGTTAATACTTTGTAGCTCCGCCTTTTGCTGCAGTTCCAGCTGCAAGTCTCTTGGGGTTTGTCTCTGTCAGTTTTGCCCATTCTTCCTGCAAAACAGCTCGAGCTCAGTGAGGTTGGATGG